TGTAATTTCCCATGGAAGAGGAAAAGCTGTTTCACCCGCCATGAGACTATTTTCATGGCCGAGCAACAATGGCGAACTGTGCATACAGTTTTGCCATATGAATTGTGACAAAATGCAAATGGCAGTGACTTCCTCTGCTCTCTCATTCTCCTTCTCTTTCTCGCTCACACACTTTCTCTATATATGTATAGTATATCACAGTGTGTCCCTTTCTACGAGTTATAACCTCACTTCACTGCACCCCCTTGGCCAATTTTCGCATTTTTATGCATGTTTTGACATGTTCAAGCATTGTTGGCGTCACTTCGCGATGTCAGTCATGCAACGTTTTATGGTCAATATGTATATATGTATGTATGTGCATATGTGTGTTTGCGAATACACTATATACATACATACATACCATATACATATGTATCTGATCTGATCAGATGGGACTGCAGGCCGTTCGTTGGTGGGACATTTTGTCTGTGGCCGGCTTTTGTTTCCATTTCGCTCTTCGTATTTCGCATCTCACATTTCGCATTTGTTTAACAGTTAAATGGGCAGCATTAACGTCGCTGCCGGCGTCGCCGCGTCTCGATAACAATTTTAATAGGCCATTTAATTTTTAATTAATTCCTCAAGCGCCAGTTGCCATGTCATAAAAATGTTTGCTGTCATGTTTGTCCAATGTCCTTTGTCCTTTGTCCTTCGTCCCCCCCGACCTTCCATCCACCCATCCACCCATTCACCAGTTTTCATTTGCCATCCGCCAGCCATTGATGATGATGTTTTTGGGGCGTTTAATGACATGTTTTTGTTTCATTTCGCCTGCATATCATTATTATTATTCCGATATTTCTTTCTGCCCTTACCCAAAAAAAATAATCCGCAATTTGCTTTGTTTATTGAACATTTGTCTATTTATGATGATAAGGGGCGCGCGCGCGCGTGTTTTTTGTCGCAATTTCATTACTCAAAACTTGCTGACGCACACACCCAACAAATGGGCAAGTGGTACACGAAGAAAAATATTTTCCTACTATTTTTATTATCATCGTTCTTTGGAAATATAATTGTTCTGATTTTATAACCACATTTTAAGAAGTAGAAACACAAAACTAGTCATTGCCAAACTGGAGTTGCATTAAACTTTGTTACTTTGGTCACACTACATTGCTGGCATGAACAAAATTATTTGAGCTGGTCACTCTTGTTTCAGATTTTATTCTGGACTAAGGACTTATATGTTATCTATAAATTAATTATTTTCTGTGTATAATCTGTAATTAAAACGAGCAGGGGGAGAAGCCTCATTGCCCACTCAGCCATTGCTGCTCGACCTCGAGTCCATTGGTGGGGGCCACCTAACCTTCGACATTGGGCCTCTCGACCAAGTTCACCCACCACCCACCACCCCCTCACCCACTCCCAATGAGCATTGTTTGGTTTTATATTTGGAAATTTTTGTGACTCTCTTAATAGCTTTTTGTGAAAATTAATTTCTTAGCTATTAGAGGCCCTTGTCGTCTGCACATTCACCCCCCACAATCACCCCCGTAATTCTCTCAGTGTAAGTGTGTGTATGTGTGTATGATGGAGAGTATTTTGTAATTACTTTATGCCCGAAAATTGCCGTAGTAAAATATTTCTCACTGGCTTTTGGCATGGATTTTACAGTCGCTTCGGGGCAGGGCAAAAGCCTTAGCCGAATTCGAAATGGGGGCATGGCCATGGTTTTCAGAGGTTTGCTTGGTTTTTCGGGAAGGGCACACACTGACCCCGTCGACGCTGTGGATTGCCCTTTGTCGGCGGCCGGCACTCAACTTTCACTAATGAAATCAAGTGCCTTGCCTGGCCACCGAAAGTAAACCAATTTAAGCCGGCCACATTTTATGCTATGCTTCATATATATATATATTGGACTTCAGATCGCTGTCTGCTCAGGTTTTGTTTAAATACTTACAAATTTATTTGTCACTTGCTTTAAATACATGAAATGTGAATAGCTTAAACTATTTCGTTTTTATTCCCCTTCTAATAATCAAAAATATTAGCCAACTTTAGAGACTACTTTATCATCAGCTTGGGAAGCGGTGAGCTTAAAACCTGTTGTTAAATCAACAGCTTATAAATTAAAATGTTTGAAAACGATTTTACATATATGTTTGTGCAGGAATAAATACAACTAAAGTAAATCCCATACGATACAAGTCTGTGCGAAGAATTGTTTTGTCAATAATGCTTTGAAAAAATGTATTTTAAAATAAAATATTTTGACATAAACCAACTAGGAAACTTTGCAGCCAAGTAAGAAAAATATATTTACCCACATACATACATATAAAGTAATTACTTTGTCCTAACGATCACGTTTCATGTTGGACACTTATTGAAATTGAAATAATTTACCCTTTCGGCAGTTAAAAATATGTCGCAGTCGACAGTTTCGTTAACATGCCACGTGGCAAATGACTAGTCCAAATAAAATGTCATAATAGCTAAATCTGCCGAGGAACAAGGCCCTCAAATGGCCCTCCTATATAAGCCGAAACTGACCATGTAGTCGGACGTGTGCACTTAACCCCTTCTTGGCCAACAGGGCCATTACACAGCCAACCCACAGAGCCTCAATCTCCGATCCCAAATTTGGAATCCACCCGCATGGAAATCGTTTTACAGCTCCCCGCTCTGGTTAAATGTGTATATGGCATGCAGTTGGGGGTAAACTTTTCCCGAAAATTGCTACGCATAATTGCCAGTTTTTGCCAACTGAAAAAGGGGGGGTTACGGGGGTTTTATTTGCCCCTTAACCCATTAGAAATCTTGCAGCTAGTTGAAAAGGGGAGCGGGAAGTGGTCGACATGTGTGCGTCGTTAGTTAGTTAGTTATAACTACATACATTTTTATGGACGCCATATTGTAAATGTTATAATTTTCACTAACAATTTTGAGCAACCGTTGCTTACGTTGCCAAAAGGGGGCGTGGCTCTGGCTGTGGGCGGCCACCATTTATAAACGATGGCCATGCGACGATGATAATTTTCAACAACTTTTCCGTAGCGTGTGAAACACGGCATTCAAGAGGGTCTGAGTGGGTACTGAAAGGGGGTGGGATTGGGTTTTTTATGTTCGGGAAGGCCTACACATGCAGTTTAAACCCCCTCTACATCACCCCCCCCATTGCACTTAAACGTGCTTGAAATTTTAAAGTATTTCTTACATTACGAGCGAAAAGCATTTTCTGTGTTTTTTCAACTCCGATTTTTGTCGTGCTTGGGGTTTTTTTTTATGTTTTTCAGTAATAAAATTTAATACATACATAGGGCACACTCACACACGCACAATTTTACTCAATTATAAAAGTTTCCACATTAAAAGTTCATTGCAGTGCCGAAAGTCTGGGCGAAACGAACGTCCGAGGCAGAAAAAGCTGTGAGCACAGTATCGTTGGGTTAGGTCGTGCCCACAGGCAGGAAGGCCTAGGTCCTGCCACAGGTCCTTATGCTGGCTCCTGCTTCCCAGTCTCGCCACCATTCCAAATCACCGGGTCTGGGCAAACAACATCAAAGCCAAAGTGTCTCCGACAGGAAAAGTTGCGTTTTTTCTATTATTTTCCCTTATTTTGCCTTATTTTGCCACTTTTTTGCGGCCAGCCAGGGAGTGGGGGTAAATGTGTAAAGGGAAAATGGGAAATGGGAAATGGGAAAAGGCAAAAGGGAAAAGGGGTCCAAAAAAGGTTGTTGTGCCACATGCACATGCTGCCAACAGCTCAAACGTTGCTGTTCTCGCAGTTCCCAGCAGGTAAACGACTCTATCCATCTGACACTGCTAATCTGTATCTCCGGCATCTGCATAGTCCTGCTAATTAGATAAAGGATCACAGGAGCTGGGCACTGAGCCTGTTAAACTGCGCATGGGATCACGTAGCAAAGGCAAAGTGACAGTCGGGTTCACTGATCCTGCTAACGAGATTTCACTGTGTCCATAAACAGACGAGCTGAGAACGCCACGGTTCAGCCGTTGCCTGTGAGGAAATAATGTTATTAATTGAATTCATTTGCCACTTGGGTTTTAAATATTTGTTTGCGATAAGCTATTCCATAACAAGCTATTTCCATAACATTTCTCTGCAAAATAAAAAAGTGCCCGTTTTTAAAAAATATTTAATCGCAGTTTAACGACTATATCCTATTTCCAAAAGGAACAAATCGGGAAATACATTTTTTTTTATTTCTTTAAGATATAGATGGTTTAATGGTTAGTTTCACTTAAATCGGCCAACTATGCCATATAGCTCCCATGGAAACAATCGAAATATTAAAAAAATTAATTTAGAATTTTTAAAATTAAAAAAAATTGTTTTTACAATATATTTTATTTATTAACAATTTCAATTTGAACTATTTTATATAGCTACCATCGGATCGACAGAATAATTAATTTAGATTAAATTGAGACGTTTTAAAGAATATTTAATTTTCGCAATAGCTGCAAGGTTATATAAACTTCGTCTTGCTGAAGTAAGCTTCCTTTCTTGTCTTTCCTATTGTTCCTATGGGAGCATTATAAAATAGAGTCGTCCGATTTGAACAAAACTTAAAGCGTATTAAGCCATTAATGTGTATTAACGTATATTTAAAGAAAATAAATAGCAACAAAGTTATATTAATCATTTATTTTGCTTGATTATTCCCATCGGAATTTTATCAGCCTTACAACTGAGAGACAAGATTGCGTCGAAATGGACGGACGGATAGACAGACGGACAGACATACATATATAGCCAGATGCTGATCAAGAATGTATATACTTTATAGGGTCGAAATGTCTCCTGCGTTGCCAATGGTTGACTGAAACAATAATACCCTTAACAAATTCATATTTAAACCCATAAAACACAAATTTAAGACCATTAAATCCAAACTTAAACCCAAAATCCAATCCATGTTTAAATCCAAATCCAAATTTAAAGTGAAAACTGAGAAATGTTTTTCTTTCCTTGCGTGCTTTTCCAGGCTATGGCGGCATCTCACCGCGGACGCAGTGGGGCCGGGTGGCGGCCCTCGTGTACGCCCTGTTCGGCATTCCCATCGTGCTGCTCTACCTGTCCGCCATGGGCGAGGCCCTCTCGGCGGGGATGCGTTGCCTGTTCCGGCGCCAGAGGGTCAAGGGCGGTCCGGGCGGGGTCGGTCCGGGCGGCGGCGTTGGAGGAGTCGCCGGCGGCGTGGGTTCCGGTGTCGGCGGCGTCGGCTCCAATGGACGGAAAACGGACAAGACCAAGGGCCAGGGGCACTATGGCCACCAGAAGCTGCATCAATACGGCCTGCCGCCGTCGGTTTACCAGCAGCAGGCACAGCAGCAGCAGGCGCAACAGCAGCAGGCGCAACAGCAGCAGGCACAGCAGCAGCAGCAGCAGACGCAGCAGCAGCAGCAGACGCAGCAGGGCAAGAAATCCTCGGGCAACCGACGTGGCTCACCCAGTGTGCCCATCTCCATATGCGTGTGCGTGCTCCTCTGCTACGTGAGCAGCGGGGCCATCCTGTTCCACAAGCTGCAGAACTGGAGTGTCCTGGAGTCGCTCTACTTCTGCTTCACCTCGCTGGGCACCATTGGCTTCGGCGAGATGGCGCCCAACGGGGCGCTGGCCCTTTACACGGCCTCCGCCTACATCCTGGTGGGCATGGCCGTGGTGGCCATGTGCTTCAGCCTCATCCAGACGGAGATTGTCCTCTGGCTGCGCCGCTTCAGTGTCCAGGATCATGTGATGCCCAAGGCCGAGGAGCTGGCCCTCGTCACCGTGGCCGTCACCCCCAAACCCTCCTGACAGCGACCCAGTGCGGATCCCAGTTTGGGTTTGGGTGTGGGCGTCGGTCTTGGACAGCCACAAAACAATTTGGGCCAGCACCAGACCATGTTCTTTGGACCCGCGCACACACTCACGCAATACAGCTCGCTGCCGCGAAGGAGTCATTTGCAGGCGGGAGCCCACATGTCCGGCGGCGGCGGCGGCGGCGGAGGAGGAGGATCCGCCTTCCAGCGGAACACGCCTATCCGGCGATCGACTGGCATACCGGAGCACCATCTGGAGTACTTTGTGCCGCGCAGCATCAGTGAGTTCAATCTGTCGGGGGTGGGCGATCTGGCCCTGCCGCCACCACGCCGATTTTCACCCAATATGGTGGGTGGCATGAACATGGGTGGTGGCATGGGCATGCCCATGAATATGGGTGCTGGCATGGGCATGGGCATGGGCATGAATATGGGTGCTGGCATGGGCATGGGTCTGCCGCATGGCCTTCAGTTGGGACCGCCGCAGACGCTTCTCTGCTCGGCCACGCCCACCGTGCAGCAACAGCAGCAGCAGCAGCAGCCGCCTCCGCCGCCGGCGCAGTTGCAAATAGTGACCCTAAAGCCGCGCAGCGAGAAGATGGTGACCTTCGAGGATGAATCAAAGCAGGCAGTTGGAGGAGTAGGAGGAGGAGTAGGAGTAGGAGGAGGAGTAGGAGGAGGAGGAGGAGGAGGAGGAGCGTCCGGTTCCGGAACCCCACCGCATTGTCCGCACGGAGTGCCCACAACTCCGCGAAAATCACCAGCGGTAGTGGGCGATATGTTCATGTGACCAGGAGCCCAGGACGAGGCGGCCCAATTGGATGCGGCCATGCGATTGCGCGACAGCATCGATGATGCACTGTGTCCAAAAGCTGGACCGGCGCCAGGTGAAGTGATACGCGTCTAAAAATAAAATTACATAAAACGAAACTCCTACACAAAAAAAAAAAAGTACACACTGTAAGTAAATGCACACATACATACACACACACACATACAAAAACTCCAACGGAAATGGAAATGGAAACGTAACTCCTCCCAGAAAAACAAAAAAAAAAAAGGAAAAGCAAAAGCAAAAGCAAGAAAAAAAACATAGCCTACTTTCGAGGGCCCACTACTCTCAACTTGAAGTTCATCGTGTTTTTCTGCATATAAGCATTAATAAAACATTGAGCAAACATTTATTATTATGTGTGTAAATATAGCAAACAAAAACCACAAAGAAAACAAACAACTAAAGTTGAGTCGCATGTTGCGACTGAATAAAAGAGAGAGTGAATTAAAATTAAAACTCAAAATGATAAATGCATAAATAATTGAATGCTGTTTAAGGGCATTTTGCCGTTAATGCTGTTAAGCACAAATCCAGAAATTAATAAATACACTCGCTCACACACACACACACACATACACCTACAACTATGAATAGTAAATAGTGCGTGGGCGTGGCATTAGATGGGAGTGTGGAAAGTAGAGCAAACAAAATGCAAATGAAAATGACAAATTGTATAAATACCAAACGACAAAGTTTATTTAAGCGATTTGTTAGTTAGTTGCTCTCTGCTTTTTTTTTTTTTTTGTGTCCCTTATGAACGTGGAATTTCAATTACTTTTATTTATTGCTTTGTAGGCAAATGTATATTTCTGGTAGAAGCATTTTTGTTGTTTTGTAGAGAATTGTTTTTACTTTTATTAACAACTTTTGTGCCAAGCTAAATAAATGCCAAAAATGTCAATTTTTGTTGGGATACAAATTTTAGTAGAAATGTTTTTTTGAAATGCTTTGCAAATTTATTGTATAGGCAAAATAGTGAAGTGCTAGCAATATTTTTTCTGGACTTCAACTATCTTTTAAACTATTAAATAGTGCCAAACAAAATGTAAAAAAAAAACAGCTTGCATTTATAATTGTTGTTTTAAGCAAGCCACTGTTTTTGTTATGTTTTAATATAAAAAAAAAACAATTTTCACAATCGAACTGTTATACTGTTTGTATACTCTGTACTTTATGCTCAAAGTGTTAAGTGTGTATATGAATGTAACATATATGTGTATGTGCCAAAAGAAAACCGCAGGTATTACCACAATATATGCGAATATTGTTAATATCTCTGTCGAACTTTAATCGGTTAAATCGATCAACGAATTACCAACGATTTATCCAAAACTTCTGTGGCATTTTGCTTGAGTGTTCCGCTTTTTTAGCATGCTCGTTTTTCCACCCAATTTTCATCGCTTTCCAACCCGCCCACTGGCAATTAGGTTTAAATACTTTTTAAATGCATTTTGATTGTAGGTAATTGAGCGCGTGAATGGCCATTTGTTGTTTGTTTCTGTTGGTTTTGGCCTTGTTTTCTGCGTTCAGTTTTCTGTGTTCAGTTTTCTGTTTTTCGGTTAGCTGTTTTGCCGTGACACGACATTCAAATTGGAGGGCTGTCAAGCGAGCGGAGCTCATTTGAACGCGCTTTTTGTTGCTTTGTTGTTGCTGCTCTGTGGCGTTTCATTTAAAACAAATTCAATTTTAGCCACCGCCCCCACCGAGTGGGCGTGGTCGCTGATTGCATTTGTTAATTTTTGCCATGTTCAATTTGTGGCATTCAATTAAAATAGTGAAATTAAACCAGATAGGAAGGATAGTCGTTACTCGTATAACACAAAGCATAGCAGAAACCGAAACTGAAAGATAAATAAATAAATAAAAAATACAAGTGCATAAAAAATGCAGGTCAACCTTAAATTTATGGGTTGTGAACCTGCAGAAACTAACTGCAAAGCTCCAACTTGTGTCATAGCATAAGCCAATACAGATATATGTCTATGTAGTTAATAACTGACTAACTAACAGCCAAACAGTACGGTCATACAAAAGCGGTAAAGCAAATATTGAAATTAAGCCAATGTAATTAAATTAAGTCCACTTCAACACGCATTCACACGCATTCACACACACCCACACAACCACAGAAAAATTAATGCCATCAAGTAAACATGGAAAAACTAAATGTAATGATAGAATTTTTTTTTTTGTCAAATTCCTAGCACGGTAAGTTGAACTTTTAGGCTAACCGCATATAGGCCAATTGCGAGTGGCAGTTAAGGATACATTACTCTAATTCATATGTACTCTTAGTCCACTAGATACATATACATATGCATATACATATAGATATGTAGCCGTACACAAAACGAAACTAATCTAGCATTGAGAAAGGCAAATAACAAATAAGAAATACCGCAGTTCGCATCATATAAATGTATGTACACAACAAACATCTCTTTCTCTATCTCTATATATAAATATATATACAAAAACCCAACCAAAAGAAAAGAGAAGAATAAATACATCATGAACAATTTAGTCAAAAATCAACAATTCTTTGTTTGTTTTCTCACTTGCGGCTCACATTTCCATATGCTGAAGGTCTCAAAAGGGGTAAGTGGTGAAATGGAAAAGGATATATTCGGATATATATTCCGACTACAAAGTCTCATTTTGACAGAGTAAAATTGCACTTGATCCTTACACCCTAGGTTATAGGTTCTTTGATTGTTTTAATAGTTTATTATTGTGTTTCCCTATCGGTAAGTTGATAATAACAATAATAGGAAGTTCAAAGTGTTAGCAAGGGTATTATAATTTCAGTCAAAAGTTTGCAAAGCTTTCGACCCTATAAAGTATATATATTCTTGAGTCGGGCTGTCCGTCTGTCTGTTTCTACTCTCAAGTTTAAAATTATCTGCATAAAACTTTTCCAAAAGTAGTCTTTTCATGCAGGTAACATATTAATCTGAGCGGGCTGGATCGGAAAATCATTATAGTAATGGTTATTATTATTTCAAAATAAAAGTTATAATTTTTTAAAACAGAGACAACTATATCAACGATTGCATAATTTGTCGGAAAATCGTCACAGGTTCTTTGATTTTAAATGTGTACTCATAAAAATCTTGATATTTAGTTGTCTTAAAGCATATTTAAGCTGTGCAATAACTGGAAGAGTATGTAAACTTGGACTTGAAAATGTTTGCTTTCTTTATTGTTGTGGGTACAATTTTTTAACTTCTTCAATGATGAACCCATCATTAAGTGTTTCTTTATCGGTAAGTTGATAAAAATATTAAAAATAATTTAGAAGTGTAAGCAATTTAAGGTTGAACTTATTGGAAATTAAAGTCCATATATTGAAAAGTCTTAAAATCAAGTTGTAAATAAAATCTTCTTTCGATTCAATAGATTAACTATAATTATAGCGTGCCTTTTTGTGGGAAAGGCCAGTCTCATGGAAAAAATGATCAAAAAGAAAAACGGTCATCCGAAATGGGCAAACTCAGTGGAGCGGCAGAAAACAGAGAGGAATGCGAATATCTTAATTTTAAATAAAATTTGCACAGAATCAATGTGCGTGTTAATTGATAAAGATAAAAATGCGCCCCAAACCAAAAGTGATAGGCCGACCAATAAAAAAACTTTCCCTTCCGTCGCATCTCTTTTTTTGTTCTTTTTTAATTATTTAATCATTTAATTAGTGTTAATAATTTACGGCAAACAGCTTCGCAATCAATTTGCGTTTATGTGTGTATCTTTTGCCATATCTCTGTTTGTGCGTATTTTATGACAATTCTGGAATGAAATTTCACTTAATCAAGAGCCAAATTCAGGTGTCCAAGCGAATGCCTTTCTGTGTGTGTGTGTGTGTGTGTGTGTGTGTGTGTGGAAGTCCAGCATTCTGCCACATCAATTTAATTTACTTCTGACAAATATCACCATATCCGGTCACCGCATTTTCCCTGGCATTTCCCCTCTGGTTTCTCCGCCCGATTGTTTGTCGAAGCTATAGACGAAATGTCAAGTGGAAAAGCATTAGCCCATCAAATGATGTGTAATGTGCTCGAATGTCTCTCGAAATTATCAAGCCAATGCATACACATTAAGACAGTGCGTTGCGATGATGTTAGGGTATTCAATAAAGGCCGTTGGATAACAAAATTGAGGTGATTGGGGGCTGATACAAATCAAGCAACAATAAAGTCAGATAATAAGCTTTAAAATAAGCTGAAAATAGTGATTGTATTTGTCTTCATTGTTGGCTGATTTCTATTTGATTTACCTTTAATTTTGGTTTAAATTCTTGAATCTTATACTATTTTATTATCAAATTAGTTGTTCCTGTTTGAATTTGCTTAAAAGTTGCATAGAACTTTTACATTTGTGAATTCCGGTGTAAGTTAGTAACAAATGGATTAAAGAGTAGTCTTTGTATTTCATTTGTCCTAAATAAACATTATTATTATCTTTACAAATTTATATTTATAAAACTAAGTTTTTGATATGTACGAAATGAAAATGTTCGATACAAGTTATCAAGTTGTTAATACCGAACCGCACTGTATTTCCATATTTGCATTGTTTGTACATATGGTCATGTGCTCGTTACATCTGAATGATTGTGTGACAACGCCGAATGACTTCACTTTACACAGATGGAAGGGCATTAAATTAATTTCGTGTGATGGCAAAGTAGATTCATGTAACCAGGTGAGAAGAGATCAACTGGAAAATGGATGCAATCCTTGGATCGCAATCGCCACAGATCTTTGGGAGCAAGTGCAGCCGGAGGAGATAGCTTAGAGCGGAGCGAAAAACACACACATCGAAGTAATAAATTTCGCCTAAATGTTCTCTTTGTTCGAGTCATTAAAATCGCATTTGGCAAAGGAAGCTGGTCGCTTGGTAGGTAAGTCTATGTATGTGATGACTCTCTGACGAAGATGTGGATGTGATTTGGATGTGAATGTGATGTGGATGTCGATGTGACGCTGGTGGGATGGGATGATGATGCTGATGCTGATGCTGATGATGGTGATGGTCTCCATCTTCTCGGCAATGCGTTGCCATTAACGTTGACTGCTACGTTGTCAATACACTTGACATATAATTTGATTACGCATACGCATTTTATTAACTCATTTCCAGCGCA